GTAATGAGACATGGATCCCAGTGGATCTGGCTACCATCCACTATGAGGAAGGTATGCTAACACTTTGGCTCCAAATGGTGTCATCAGCTTTTTACCTTTCAGCTCTTAGCCTCATTTAAAGGCTGTGTTGAGGTTTGGGGTTTCATTTATGAGAAATAGATTTGGTTAAAAAAGGCCAGCCGTTATACAGGGTGGCCTTTTCTTGCTGCAAAAGTATTCAAAAGCTCATAACATGAGCCCAGAGGTTATCTTTGAAGTGTATTTTAGATGCAGATGGTAACACAAGATTAGTACCATACATGTTTAAAAATAACAAAAACTCATTACAGCCTTCTAATAAAGACTAGAAGAAAAATAAGTTCTGTTTATCTTAAACATTTCTTCCCAGCAGCCCAGATCAGCTCTGCTGTCACGATAAACTCCCAGTGATCAGAACAGACTGGTTCAGTTCATTTACTATTTATATCCGTACTTTTATCGTCTCTTTCTGCAGATGTCAGACATTCCTTCTGCAGGTGCAGAAAGAGTGTCTGTAAATAAAAGAGGTTCAGGCTGTAATTGCAGTAACAAATTGCTTTTACCATGCAGACATGAGTTTTCTGCTTCTATGGTTTTTACAAGAAAGGGCAGTTTGCTGTATGAAAGCGTGACACATTCCTGTTCCCTAAAGCTAAAGCTTTTATCCGCCTGCTCTGGCTTCATAAAACGCATTACAAATGTATGATAAAGTGAAATAACCTCTACTCAGTCCCTTTATGAGAAATACATCAGGGGAGTGTTGGCCCAGCGGTTAGAGCAGTGTGCTTGTGCTCTGAGAAGGTTGCAAGTACCCGGTTTAATCCCCACAGCCTGCATTCTGGGTTCCTGAGCAAGATCCTTAATCCAACACTGCTCCCCTGGAGCCACACAATAGAGGAGGATTGGTTAAATACAGAGAGTGAATTTCCCTATTGTGGGACAATAAAGGGGTTTACATTACATTAATAAAAAACAAAACAACAACTGATTTTTAGCCTTTGGGTCTTCTAATAAGTATGAATTACATTTTGTACCATGGTTTTTGCAATGGACACATATTTTACATTGGAAATTTTGGATAAATAATCCAGAAATGAAACTTCGAAAAGCTTCTTTATTAAAAGAGAGTAAATTAGCGGTTTTCTTTGATTATTTTCATCCATATTCATGAATGTTAACTATTTTTTTTACAGATTATACTTTGAAATATACTTTGGATTTCTCTTTTAGATTGAGTTTTATAAATTGCATTCTTTTCTAAAACCGCGGTCTAAAGCAGCAAGAAGAAAGCAATCTAATGTTGTTTTTTAAAAGTCAAATATTTCTGTAAGCGAGGACAAAAACCTAAAGAGGAGAATGCTTATTTACTTTTGCTGGGAATCTATTTTAGCCGATAACTATTCAAATTCTTCTTTGCTTAGTTGTCTGTAACATGTAGCTAACTCTTAATATTTTATGTAAATTTTATGACAGCTGAGACATGAGGCACCCAGGTAAACGTCATGTTCTGTTCAGATGGATGCGGATGTATAGAGCTGATGCGTGATGTGCAAATAAGCCCCTGTAAAATCTCCAAGCTTTATCTATGGATTCATACATGGTGTTTTTTCAGCATTAATTAAAGATACAGTTATTCATATACTTCACTGATTGAGGAAGTCTCTTTTTTTTAATCGTTATTCAAGGTAAACAGCAGCCAGATAACAAAGTTGACTTCTGTTGTCAAACCTTAGTGTTAAAGGGCCATTATCTAGCCACTTTTAAGAATGTCTCTGCTTTCACACTCTTGAATCAAATATTTAGGTCATTAGCAAGAGTTGGTAGATGTTGTCTTCATGCTGATGGGGTTATTTAACCATTCAATTTAGGTGTGTTTGACCAGAGAGGCCTCTAAAAGGTTTAGAACTGTGTTCATTAAGGGCTGGGGCTGGACAGATCTATATTTATAGATATAGCATTTAACAACTAAGGGCCTGATCTACTAATGGTCTGCATGTATAAAAACACATTCAAACTTGATAGCAAGCGCAAAGCTGATCTACTAACCAGTTGCAACCAGAAAAGGTTTGTTTAATGAACAAAAAGGCAGGTACAATTAGGGGGGGTAAAAAACAGCAATTACTTGTTAAAGTCGTAGGGAAGTCATATTTAAATGTCAAATCATTCTGGCTTAAACATGTATATAAATGTACTCTTTATCAGACTATCTTGTCCAAAAATTAAGAAAATTTGTATTTAAAAAAACAATTCTGTCATAAAATCAGTTTTCTTCCGTTATCTTATGCAGACCTGTTAGTTATAGGTCAGCCTGTACACATAAATTCGGCCAATCATATATCAACGGTCATCTGTCAATCTGATTTTTTCGGTCATAGCATCTTGATTCATATGTCGCAGCTTATATACACAACGGTTGAAATAAGAAATAAGAATAATTTTCTTTCCCATTAAATTCCGTCCCAGTGTTCATGGGGATGGACGTCTGTGTCTTCTGCAGGCGTAGAGCTAACAGAACTGGCAGCGTTGCGAGGCAAACATGTACGGCTGTAAGCCTTCTACACCATACCAAGCTTCTGCCGCCCTGGCGTCCTCTTCCACAACATCTTCATCCCCGCTTTCCTCCTTGAAATAAAAAATGTACGATGGAGGAGACTCATCCGCGATCTCCAACACAAAACTCTCCTCCTCTTGCATGTTTCCTCTGTCCATAGCGTTCCTTGACAGTGTTGTTGCTAAGTCACCAATTCAGTGCTACTTGGTCCCGATTGAATTTCCCATTAGGAACCTACTAGCACTTAGTTGCTAACTGGTTAGCAAAATGCTTCGAAGAAACTGACAACAACCAAACTTGCTTGTGAACCTTCCGCCACAACAATCCCGCCCTCTTGATAAATGACCAATCACATTTACTTTATTCACTTGTGTAAAGTCGTCCACCACTCGAGAGAATTTAGAAATGGGTTGGAAAACGGTTATGACTTTAATTGCAGTTAAGTTTTCACAATTCAATATCGATCCACAAAACTCTCTGAAATAGTTCTGGACAAGTTCCTCCTGGCCAGTAAGTTTGTGATCTACAGCGTTGTGTAACTTTGCATCATACTGAAGAAAAATGGATGTGAATTTCTGTGAGCATCAGACATAGAATAAGTGGAGTATCTTCCACCCAGGAATTCAAGTTAACCAAGGGGTGACTTAAAGACGGTCACAAATAGAAGCCATGAAATGTTCAGGCAGACTATCATAATTAAAGGTGCCAACCAGAGTTATTTTTCTTTTGTACTGTGCTGTACAGCAGCGCCAGATTGAAGTCAGAGGCGGGGTTTAACTGCTCATGCTAGCATTCCCATAGTCGACAGTAACTATGCTAAGCTACAGGAAAATAAACAACAGATCTTAAAAATCATATCTGGTTCTACCTAAGTAATAATAATGGACATGCAGGTGGCGCAGAGGTTAGTGCACACAACTCATGTACAGAGTTTTTTATTCTTTAGGCACGTGAGTCTTTAAAATGCCAGAACTTGCATAAAGTCTGTTTGACAGCATCATTTATAAACATTAAATCTGTTGTTGTTATCCAACTTTTTTGTTTCATTTTTTGTTTGTGTGTAAATATTGGATAAAAAAACATAGAAGTTTAACAGGAAGGTTACTCTACTTTAAAGGAATAGTACACCCAAAAATTGATTAGCCTTCATTTTCTACTCACCCCCATGCTGAACAACACCCTGGAGTACTTTTTTGATATCTCAAATGCATCTGGAGATCTGGGAGGCTTCTTGCTGTCTGCTGACATTCAAATAATGGAGGTCTATGGTGCCCGAGGCAGAAAGGTCCATAAAAGTCCACAAAAAACGTGTCAATATTCCTCCATACTGCTCGTCCAATGTATTCCAAGTGTCCTGAGTGGGTAGCGTCCAGAATTTACTCGAAACAAAGTCATTTAGAATGTTTTTAGAGCATAAACAGTAGTGTATAGGATTTCCTGAAAGCGCGCACATGCGCGCTCACGACGCTACGGAAGCCGGCAGACCAAACCAGATGAAAGTGCGCATTCAGCGTCTGCTCTGCCAATAATGCAGGCGTAGAAGAAGAAATGTGCTGTTTACCTGTGCAAAGAAAGAAACAACGAAAGAAAAATGTCTGAGGACTTCAGTGTTGAGGAAGAGCATGAGTTCTTTGCCGATCTGAATGCGCTGGTTTGGTCTGCCGGCTTCCGTAGCGTCGTGAGCGCGCATGTGCGCGCTTTCAGGAAATCCTATACACTACTGTTTATGCTCTAAAAACATTCTAAATTACTTCGTTTCGAGTAAATTCTGGATGCTACCCACTCAGGACACTTGGAATACATTGGACGAGCAGTATGGAGGAATATTGACACGTTTTTTGTGGACTTTTATGGACCTTTCTGCCTCGGGCGCCATAGACCTCCATTATTTGAATGTCAGCAGACAGCAAGAAGCCTCCCAGATCTCCAGATGCATTTGAGATATCAAAAAAGTACTCCAGAGTGTTGTTCAGCATGGGGGTGAGTAGAAAATGAAGGCTAATCATGTTTTGGGTGTACTACTCCTTTAAGTTAATTTAAGTGCAATTAGAGGGAGAGGGGGTAGGAAAAATTAGTTTTACTTCTTCATACCCCTTTTCAGACAATTTCCATTAATCAGTGTCATTTTTCTGGCTGTATATACCGACAGGTTTATTCGGTGGAGGGGTTTGTTTCTATTTATTTTCAGGTGAATTTAGTTAGTTTGGAAATTGGTGTTTGGTTTGGTTGATGTTAACTAGTCTCTTGTGTGTATACTTGGTTGATTCACTTATTGTTGTTTGTCAAATTGTCTGAAAATTGTATGAAATAAATTCCCATTCTAATTCATTCACAGTTACTCAGTACTCAAGTAGCCTTTCTACTGAATACTTTTTCACCTTTGCTTGACTAATTTCTTGGACAGTAAAATCTTGTCTTTTTGTGTTTCTAGACTACTGAGAAATTGGAGAAAACGACTCTGTCACTGGAGCAGCTGACTAATGAGAAGAAAACACTTGAGTCGCAGGTAAGAAGGGATTGATAGGAAACTTTTAACACTTTTAACAAGGAGAATTTATCTTCTGCAGAGGTGGAACTAACTAACTTAAACATCACCGGATTCTTGTTCAACCCTTTGTCTTTGGATTCAGTTTATATAATTGGCCGCATTCCCAGGAAATATGATCGGGCATTTTGATGTCCCTTATCTTACACTGAAGATGGTTTACTGATACAAGGATCCTGCTTGTTCTCAATAAAATAAAAGTAAAAAGCATTGCTGTTATTTTAAGAGGATAGAGGCCTGCTGTAATGTTTAATCAGTAAGAGCGGTAGATTAATGATAATGGACATTGGTAAAGTGAAAGCTTGTTTTAAGTTGGAGTTCTCAAACACAGCATAGCTCACATGACTTAAGGAGCATTATTTTTCCATATACAAGAGAGGAAAACTCTTTTTGAAACTGGAAATCCTCTCACATGTATTTCTGCATCCCCCTCCTTCTTTCCGACTGTGCTTTTTTTTTATTCCATTCATGCAACATTTTCAAATGAAAGCTTTATGTATGTCTGCATGGGTTTTACTCAGTCTGTCCACAGCAGCGTGAAAGGGTTTGCACATGCACGTACATGGGCTCCGCATCTGCGGCCTGCAGGGTTTTTGTTGCACATTCAAGCTGACTGGATGATTACACAGACTGTTCTTGTTGGGGGAAATTCAGACTCAGCCATCGCTTTAAATTAAGCATGAATGAAACCCTGCAGCCTCCTCTGCCTTCTCTACATTTATTTTTTTATCATCTTCTTTTATCATCATTGTTTTGTTTTGTTTTTTTCAAACTGTTCATTGTACTGCTGCTAAGCTCTCTGGTGCCCTCATGCTGTCTTTCTGCACATTCATCTCGCCTCTGGAACTTTCATAGCCAACAGCAGATGTATAGCTTTAAGGCACAGGGTGTTTATAAAGCATAATTTATATAATGTGAAACTGGGTGTTTTTAAAGCATAATTTATATAATTTAATCTCTCACAAGCATCACATTCAAGAAGTTTGTCTATCTCTCTTTTTACAGGATAGACTGTGAGGCCTATCTGTTGGGGTTTTCGTTATAGACCTTGTTTCTGTCCCAGTAGTAAGATTGTAAAGTGGAACATTTATTGTCTGCCATTTATTGAAATTATTTCTGTGTAATATGAAGGAGACAAGAAAGTTTTGTTTTCCAAAGCAACAGTTAGTGCTAATGTCAAAGGCAAAGGGCAAAATAAATTATATTTCTAGCATGCTGGATTTAAAAGCATGGCACTTTAATACTTTAGCCACCAAATATGAGAGTCAGACAGGATATTAATATTGAAGACATTGTAAGGATGATTGGGATTTGGGAGTTTTGCAGATCTAGTTGTATGTTGTTACTTTCATTTCTGATTAGGACACAATTAGGATGTCCAAAAACATCCTAATGGTCCCCAAAAATATTTTGTAAAGATACATTTTTTATTATTTCTGTTCATCGTTAAGTCAGTCTACTGCTTCTCAGACAGTGTGAAGTTGCTCTTCTCTCCAAACTTAACACACATCTATCAATCTCCTGCCAACAAAATGTATTTTCGTTTTTGTCTAGCGCTGGCTCAGCTCTCTTAGAGCTCCACTAGAGCTCCTCTTCAACTCCTCCATGTCAACTAGTGTAGAGGATTGTTTTTCTCCACCTTCTGTTTTAGGATGTCCTGAAGATCTTCAATTCACTTCAGTTTATGTATATCAGAGACAATTCGACCAGATCATCCAGTCAAATTGATTCAAAGTTTTCTATGTAAGGAAAACCAGCTGATTGCATCAACTCATTGACTCGAAGGCAATCCCTCTCACTAAGCATGCTTGTAGCGACAGTGGAGAGGAAAACTCACTTTTAACAGGAAGAAACCTCCAGCAGACGCAGGCTCAGTGTGAGCGGCCATCTGCTGAGGCTGACTGAGGTTCAAGGAGACAGAAGCAGAGATAGAAAAAGAAGCAGAGATACAAAAGGCAACTGTCAACCAGCTCCACAGGCGGCACTGTCCCGGAAACACACAGCCAGGCAGAGGAGCTCTGAGCCAGTTCCCATGTCAGAGGATAAGGAGAGCACATCCAGTTAGTCACAGACAAGATATCAGATGAAGCTACTATGATGAGAAAAAGCAGAGAGCATAAAGTTAGAGATTGAACTAAAAACTAATGCAGAATAGGAGAATAGAGATGGTCCCTATGTCCTCCTGAAGTCAAAGCCTATAGCAGCACAAATGCAGAAAATAGCGCAGGATAACCTAAGTATTTTGGAAGAGGTATAAGAATGATAGAGCCACAGTTTAGCCAAGGTAGAGCCAAGGAGAAACGTCAATCCAGACTGAAATTGTTGCTAAAGCTCTTCAGGGCAGTAGGGTTGTCATGAGTGTCAATAAAATTTTAAACTCGATATAAATACTGAGTACTCGATACCATTCTCTATACGTTGGGAATAAAAATATGCCAAATCTACCATCCATCTGCTCCCGCTTATTCCATCAGGGTCGCGATTGGGCCGGTGTCTACCTCCAGCAGTCTTTGGGCAAGAAGTACACCCTGGACAGATCACCAGTCTATAATAAAACAACACAGAAACACACAAAGACATAAAACTATGCAAGCCAATTAAACCAACAGTCATGTTTTTGGACTATGGGAGGAAGCTGGAGTACCCGGAGAGAACCCACACATGCATGGGGAGAACATGCAAACTTCATGCAGAAAGGCTGGGAATTGAACCCTTTGGTAGCACTCTTACTGCAAGGCAAGGGTGCTACCAACTGCTCAACACCCTGCCAAATAGTGTTTCATCCGGATACCAAATTTCAGTATCTATGCTTTTCAGAGTGTCAATAGTTTTGACATCCCTATATATTGTCCGATATCCGATATCTATCAGCCAGAATATATAAAAATGAACTTGGACATACACAGGATATGCACTATCCAACTATAGTCCAACTCAAATTTTTATAATAACCAAAAAAAAAACTTTAACACTGCAGATATGGGATATGGTTGCAGTTATCCATGTTTTTTGTCTTGTTTTCAGCAAAACCAGATTGATAAGGAGTCCCATTCAGGCCACATTTGATTGCTCCAATCAAATGTGTTCGCAGAAATGTGGGACCTTCAGGCAGAACCTTAAGAGCTAAACGAATGAAGCGACACTTATTGTTCGCCTAAAAGTTTTATTTTAGCCATGGTAACAAATTAAATAGCAACAGATGCTAAGAAAAGCCACAACAACTTGCGCTTTTACAAACTTGCTGTTCCGCTTTCAAAGATGAAATCGCAGATTCATACCAAACAGATGTGACAGCAGGTACATGTGAGTCCTCTGGTATTTTGTTATAACTGTAGGCACAGCAGCTCTTGTTTTCATCACAGCTGTATGTTCTGCCCTAAGCCATAATGCTGCAATGTGATTAGCCGACCTCCTTTGGGTCTGCCTCAAACAGTTGAATCAGGAGTGATTTCTGGCTAAAATTTTAATCAGATGAATTATTGACTGGCAAAAACGGTGATGCTCAAAAATACATGAATCCCTGATTGAAACATTTCTAATCGCATGGAGCGGAATGAGTGCTTGCTCTGCGTTACAGGCTCCTCCGGTGAAGGAAACGTCATTTCCGATATTTCTCTCATTTAAAGTCTGAGCTTAAACATGAGTCAGACCCCGGATAGGTCTAACAAACTTATCAGGACTAAACTGTGATGTAAGCTTGATTTGGGATCACAGCTATCCGACTTTCTAGGACTGATAATCCAGGGTGTGCAGAGATTGCCAGCTGAACTTATTCTTCCCACTTTCTACAAAGGAACCCTCCGCTCCCACTTTCCTTTTTATTCATTCAGAAATATCCCACAAATCCAAGATAGACATATGCTTGGAGAGACCTTAAATGATGAACAACGGGTTTGAGGGTGATGGTTTAACTAGCTGTAGAAAGGATGTATGTTTTAAATGCCCTGGCTAATATCTATGTTATCAATTGATCAAGTCACCTTAATAATGCCATAACACTCTCAGCTAATTATTGTCCGATTTTTAGCAGTACTAGAAAGAGTTTGGGAGTTTCTTCATGAGCATAAACAGACAAGACTAATATCAGACACGGCTGATTAAGTGTAGCAAACAGTAAAATCTAAATAAATAGAAAAGTGAAAGTTTTGAGGTTTATTTACATCCGTAGAGGAAGCTGAAAAGAAAAGCATCTGATCAAAATGGAAATGTTTTGATAATTTATGCCACAAGAGACAGTAGAAAGTTTGTATGGAAGGAAGGAAACTGAAGTGCATGTTGTCGAGCAGTTATTCAGCAGGGATGCTTCCACATCTGCCTCTTCTCTCTGCTCAGGCCTGATGGTTGTGATGTAATCCAGCACATGTTACAGTGAGCTGCAATGTGTGTGTGGGTGTTTGTTGTAATGACTGCTGACTTGGAATTGACCTGTCCCCTTGGACTGGAAAGGATTAACTAACATGGAAGGTGTCAGAATGTAAATTAATAATTTCTTGCTTTTTCAAACATGTTAATCCAAATATAGTGTGGGTGTCTGTATATATTTAATCCTTAGTGTGTAATATAAAGACCTCTATAGATTAGAAAAGATTCAGACTTCTGCAGCTATATGTATTATAGGTCATAACTACTACTTTTTTATCAAAGCAATAATTTTTTTCAAACATAAAACATCCAAAGAGCGTACCTGATTCTGCACAGTTTTGAACCATGATGGAGGAAAACAGTTTCGTTTGAACTGTAAACCCCACCTCAGACCTTCTCCTATTCAGAAACTGTCCCCAAAAAAGAAAAGAGATTAAAGGATACCTGTCTAGAGGGACTACAGCCAGTTTAAAATGCAGAATATTTTGAGGTGGTGCAGCAAAGCTCCCCACCTCGAGTAGGCTAGTCCAACATTGACGTGAGCTGTTCCTTTGGTCCTTCTTGTGTTTCAACTCTCTCTCCTGTTCCTCCATTTTAAC